ATTCTGATTTAAAAAATGAATTACTAAACTGATTTTGTTATAATTTCTATGGGAACAGTATGTAAGATAAAAAACAATAATTTTCCAAATCGGTTTACAAGTGACGGAGTTTTGAGGTTACAAACTTAAAAAAAAATACAACTGAATACTAAAAAAAAGAAAATAGAATATAAAAATACAACCTATTTATTTTTTATATCCTTTGAATGTAAGTCGCAGTTTAACAATAATCGTTTAATGTCGTCTTATTATTTTACTTTTCATAATTTTGTCTTTTATCTAAGTATTTTATGTAACTGTATCTTTTTTTTTTAAAGCGAGGAATTGGCAGCAGCGTTCCTCTTAAAGCATCTCTAAAAGCATTATGAATTTCCATTCATAATAATATAGAAAATCATTTGCGTTTATGAAAATATTTTGTGAAGGTAATACCAAGTTAATGTTTCCTCGTTCACAGCTACAAATAATAATGCTTGCGCCGATATATACATTAAAAGAGCTTTCGTTCTATATATCGTACTATGCATTATCTTTTTTTAACTGCTGGTATTAATTTTAGTCGTAGTGACGTTAACAACACAAAAGGTTACAGAAGTTAATGGTCAATTATCACGAATTCCATTCTACGTTTATGTATGTTAGAATGGCTGTCTATTTTGTACTATCAGTTTCGGAATCTACTTTTTGTTTCTTTCTGGTAAAATGTACTGTGATAAATAAATAGCTGGGACAGACAGCGCCATCTATTCCCAAATATACGAGTATACGAGCTTGTACTTAAAAAAATACATTTATGCAAAGAGAGAAGAACTCCTGTTTATTAACCACTATCAATACATATACAGAGAGACCAAGATTCATCCAGCAGGAAAGATCCAAGCGGAGACCCGGGGTTAGTTGGCCCGGAGTTGAAGCCGGGGTAAAGGGGTCCTCCTCGAGATCCCCGCAACTCCCACGACGGGAGTAGAGAAGACCTTGATTATTATTATTACACTACTTAGTTGATGAACATAATTATTAAAATACATTTTAAAGTGCATTCTAAAATGAGATAAGTCTTAATATGTCTAATTTATTTGATTTTTAATTATTTTAGTTTAAAATCCTAGTCTTTATCCGCGACGTTGTCCGCGTGGCCGGGATTTGTGTTTTTTTTTATACAACTTAGAATGGCAAACAAGCTGACGGTCCACCTGATGGAAAGTGGTAACCGTCACCTATAGACATGAGCAGTACCATGGACATAACAGAGTATTATACTGTTTCGCCCATGATACCCCCCATGCGTTGCCATTCCTGAGGACTCAGGTGTTATTCCTCTGTACCCAGTAAATTCACGCCATATCCCACCCTTCAAACCGAAACACAGCCATGCAAACACAGCTGCTTCACGGTTGAAACACGAATGGTACAGAGGTACCCAAGCAATCGACTTTTGTAAAAAGTCTCCCTCTGGTAAGCCCGGAATGAAAAGCAGCTTATGTTCTTCTTCATTCTATATAATACATTTTAACCAAATTTCGTAGTGATTGGTTAAGTCGTTAAATCGCCATGAGGTAATAACTAGACAGACAATTATACTGTCACATTTATAATATTAGTAAAGATAAGAATAGTAAATATAAGGTCAGTGTAATAATACATTTAAAAAAGAATTGTGACAAGACGATGTCTAATATAAGAGATATTAAACACACAAAAAAAAAGAATAAATGTATTTATCACAAAGTACCATATGTTTGTATAAGTGGAAAGTTTAACATTGATTCCTACACTAGACTAAGCCTGTCAATAATATGTCCTATATATTTTTATTAAATAAGTAGCCGAAACAAGAAATTTTAGAATTTTAAATTCTTTCCAGATCATTAGTTGAAGAGTGTGGAATTAAACATTTTCTTAAAGAAATGTGTATCGAAAACTATTAAATAAAAGCAGAAATTAACGCAAATAACACAACCCTTAAAAGGATGCAATTGATTTAAAATTAATGTAAATGCATTTATTGTTGACGACGTGAATGAATATAGAATTTTTCCCGTCATACGAGTATAAATCTACGTGGCAATTTATCAGAGATTAAGTGTGCGTCGCGAACATACGTGCCGAATTATGTGCTGACACTACAATTTACTGATTCACATAGGACAAAACCTAATTGATAAATCTATATATATATATATATATATATATATATATATATATATATATATATATATATATATATATATTGATAGAAAACAAGCTGTTGCTTGCGGCGTATATAACGCGAAATATAATAATCACTGTCGTGTTTTACCTTTAAGTAGAAATGATTAAAAAATTTTTTTTAGCAGATAACTTATGTTATGTTACATTTAGTATTTTTGGCTGTGTGCTAATAGTAAGGATAAAAGATTTTAAAAGTATACATAAAAAAATTGACACTTGTGATTTTAAAATTTGTGCAGTACGTAAGTAGGTACTATTTTGACAGAATGGCAAGTCAGTGAACGAAACATGTATGATGGGTAGATTTCTAGCTAAGAAGCTTTAATCTTTCAGTATCAAATCATTTGTAATTTCAAATTCTTAATTGTTTATAAGAAACTTATTTTTTTTTTATTTCTGTTTTTCATAAGGATGTAATGAAATGTCCGAGTGATCACGATCGTGGGGTTACCTTAGTATTTCTGGTGAGTGCTAAGATATTCGCGACAGCGCGCGTATGTGATTATAACAACCTGCTTGGAACCCGAAGAGCTTAGATCAGCTTCAAGGGTATGTCATATAAATAAGAATTTATTACTTCTACGTACCATATTTTAACTTGATATGTGTATTGTACAGAATTGTAATATAATTTCAGAGTGTAATATTAAAATTTATTAGACAGTTTGCGCTATAAGAAATATTTTGGGAGGTAAAATTATAATTATAATATGAAACTATTCATATAACAAAATTCAGAAAACGCCATTGTTTTTTTTTAAGTCTAATGGAAAATATTTTAGATAATAATTATTGTTTATATTAAGATTAAATATGAAATGCGCAAGTCCATAGAATACCTGCCATAGAATACCTGCCTGCACTACGGTATACACTGGCGGGGCAATAGTGAAGGATGATAGGTGAGAATGGAAAGGCAGGTCAGGTAACCCATCGTGATGAATATACCTGGATAGTTTCCAGGGGATATCACACGGAGGTTGATCTGACAGGGTATATTGCTAGCAATGGGGCTGGTAATCCGCATTACTAACAACACTTTCTCTTCGGCTTGAAGAGTTAAATATGGCAATAAAACTATGGGGTCCAGAGGCATAACGCCTTAATCCCCAGGAATGGCAATGCATGAAGGGTATTACAGTATTTGAGTACTCTATTATACTCACGATACTGTTCATGTCTATAGGCGATGGTTACATTTTCCACCAGGTGGACTGTTAGTTAGTTTGACATTCTAAGTTGCATAAAAAAAACATCGTTTTGCTCTAACTGAAAACGTGCTTTTTTTTAAAACCGTAAGCAAATACATCAATATGTAACTGTTTGCTCCATTATATACATTTACAGAGTTTCAGTAAAACCAATTATCACTACATAGTATAAAACAAAGTCGCTGTCGATGTCTGTCCGTCCCTATTTATGCTTAAATCTTTAAAACTACGCAACGGATTTTGAAGCGTTTTTTAATAGATAGAGTGATTCAAGAGGAAGGTTTATATGTGTAATACATGCATAATATTGTAGTATCTCTTAAGGATAAACGACAATAACTATTTTTTATCCTTTACTTTTTACGGGAAAATGGCTTATTTACGAAGTGATTTTAAGCAATACAGCATTATTTTTTATCCAATTAAGTACCTTAAATATATTGTCCACTTAATATAGATCAATATGACCCTTACAGCATGTAATTTAAATGAATATTTCTGAAGATATTACAGATTTAAAATGCAGGGATATAGCGATGCGGCATTGTACCCAAGCGGAGCCGGAGTGGGTCGCTAGTACAAGTATATACGTCTATATGCTTATAAGGGTCATAACACTTAAGCTGTCACTGCCACCCGCTCTTATGGATGACAAAAAAGATAAATATAGATATTATGCAGAGAAACTCTGAAAATATTACTCACCTTTTTAGGACAGTCGTGTGTTATGAGAACGGAATATTAAATACAGTGTTTAAACATGTTTTTTTATTTGTTATACCTTCATATGTCCGTGTGAGTTATCCATGCTCCTTTATAATAACGCCTCGCTAATAATAAAAAATAATGTCTTCTATGCTCTAACCACATAGAAATTACTATATATATTTTTAGTTATGTACTTATGTTCGAAGACTCATTTGACCGATGCATCAAAAACCCGATTAATTGATTAACTATATGAATAACGCAGTAAGAAAATTTTATGTATACATATAAATATATATATATAGAAATTTATCTGAGGTCTTTACACAAGGCTTTCATTCCTTGACAGCTATTCAGAGATGAAAGACTGCTCAAATGAATTACTATGTATTTGACAAATATCTCGGAAAGACATACAGTTTTCCTGAGATATTGGCCAGTAAAACTCTTAGATTATAAAGTATATTGTACGTTATACTAAGTCTATAGTATAACTTATATCTACATAATCTAGTGCAGTCGAATCTGTATTTAATTTTTATAACGTACCCAATCATATTTAGGCAGCATGGTCTCCGACCTTAGCCTGTTCCACAACGGAACAAACGTACTAAAAAAAGTACCCAAATCATAGATTAAGAATACTATTTGAGATCCTTTTTCTACATACATAGTATACTTGAATGTGTCAGATACTACATAGAGATACTTCAATGTTTCAGATATAGAAATAAGAATTAGACAGTAGGTACAATATTATTTACTGCTAGAATATTAATAGTTGATTTATTTGTTAATTGATAATATTTTTCGTGTAGTGTGAAGAAAATATATGAACCAGTAATTAATATAAATTTATGTTTGTTTCAGATATCCATTACGGGAAGTGATACGTGAATAGTGAAAATTTAATTTGTTCGAGCACTTGTATTGCACAGTGATAGTGTTTAGTGTATTTCCGGTATAAAGATTCAATTCAATTTACGGTCGACATTGAAATTAGGAAATGCGGCTGTGAGCGTTTCGTTGGGCACGTGTGCTCTGGTCAAAGTCAACACGCGGACTACGACAAAACAACGATGGCTAGGCCTGAAGTTGTGCGATGAAGTACCTGACGAGGAAGAGGGGGGGATGGACGAGCCCAGCGCCGCCAAGCGGCCTTCAGTATTAACAATAGACAGAGCCGCGTTTCTCTTATTGAGAGTCAAGAGAGCTTTCAAAAAGAAGAGGCAGCAAAGAAAGGAGAAGCAGTGAGTATTATATTTACTTCATGACTGTCACTGTGTACTTCATGCCGAGTATTATGTGCAAGCCTATCAATCAATCGTCAAGAAATTTGGTTTCATATAAGATTTTTTGCCATTCAATTATCACACAAGATGGATGATGATTGAATTGTAACTCCGACCACGTTATTGGTGTACGCTAGCAGGGTACTAGTAAAGAATGATAGGTAAGGATGAATACAGATTTAGTTAACCCATGATGACAATTTCAAAAAGAATTAACCACGATAGTTTCCGTGAGGACTTCATAGGGCATATTGCTAACAATGGGGCTTTAGACACCATTACTGACAATCCAGTTTCACCCGGATGAATGGACTTACATAAATTTATCGTAAACAGAGAAAAGTAATTTCGAAAATTATTTGACGTGTTATAAATATATTTAGAAGATAGAAGGATTAAATGAGAAATGTTTTTCCAAGCTTCCATAAAGTAAAATTTCAATTAAGTTGAATAAACTAAAATTACTTAGGTTTTGTAAAAGAGAATTGTTTTATTTTATTATTATAAGCTTACGATTCTATTCTTGTTTCGTCGTACTGACTATGAATACCTCTATAATATTATTTTACAATAATACTCTTTTGTAAAATTGGCACCAATGTATTGTAAATACAAATTTCTAAATTATTTAATTTTTATTTTCATTTAAGATAATAAAACGGTAACTGCGAGCTGTGAAATAATTAAATGCAAACTGCATTTAATTATTTCGCGGATTAATTAATAGAGAAATTATTTCACTAATATTATGTAATAATTATATAAGTTTAATATCGATAGAAAGAAAAAAGAAACAGTAGATGTATTTCATTTCATTGATCTTTAATATTGTATAATAATAAAGTTACGATAATGACAGAGTACAGAGACATTGCCCAGGGAGGCAAAAATAACGTGCGGCTAAATTGAAATTACAGTCGCGCGCGCATCTATCCCGTGCGCTATTACGCTTCATCATCATTATATCAGCCGTTGACTGTCTATTACTGAACGTAGGCCTCTCCCTTGTGAGGTTTTGCCCTACTATTACGCTTATAGTAACTTTTTTGCCCTCATACTCAGTGTAGTATAATGCTCAAGGTCGACAAATATTATAATTGCCCGATGTCACAAGATAACTAGATTGGGCAATGACAATTTGCTACAAACATCCATTACACAAAAGGTTGGCTATTCGAATTACACAGATCCTGAGGGATGTTTTGAATGCTAGATAATTTACATAAAATATACATTATTCCTTTAAGATAACTTAATCTATGAGCTCTGTGGATTTACTGAAATCTTTCATCTAGGGTTTCATTATGGATAATAATAATACATAATGAATACCTGTACATAATTTCTCGTGGTACAAAAAGCATATTATGAAAATTGGAACCTCCATATTCAAGTCACGTACTTGGTTTATTGGGCTCCCGTTTATTCCTAACATTTGGTTTTCATGCAACATTGTGTGGGAATTAATGTCTGTGATGAAACTACGTAATATTTGCTTTATGACATTTTCGAGGAGTGTTTGTTTGTTTTTGAATTATGTCGTGTGACAAAAAAACTTTATTACCATCTTTAGGTATTATAACGCATGGTATGTTCATATATTGTGTGATAGTAAAAGCGAGCGATAAAAGACTTTCAAGAAATGTGATAGTATCTATTTGTTCGCTCTGTTTCACTGCATTGCTAACCGAGTGCAGCCGACGACTCACTAATAAATCCGAAAGCTTTATTAGTGAGTCGTCGGCTGCAGCTATTTGCCGTATATATTTTAAAGATTTATAGTACTCAAAGCGACATAGCTAGAGTGATGTATGATTTGGCGTAGCCTTTGAAATTATGTGACATGTGAAATATTCCAAGCTTAATTTATAAGTAAAGGTTCTCATTTCCTCCAAATTAAAATGGTCGTGGAGTCATTCTTGTTTAGATAGTTCAATTTATCTATAACAACTCTTTAGAATTCCACATGACAGCATCAATCTACTCGTGACTCTATGACCAGTGTACCCTGATCGAAACGTCGACATAACTCAGGTATTACATTTACCTAAATGACAGCGTGAATTCCCGTCTCTTATGAACAATAAAGTCCCACTATTGGCTCGGTTATCTTTCCATAAGAGAAAGAAATTAGTTCAGCCTACTATTCCGTTGGCCAAGAGATTTTTGTTTTAAATTTTCCATCTCTTATGTTTGATTAATCATTGATGTTTAATTTATGGTTTGGTTCTTTTTTTTTTATTTTTATTACAATATACGAGTGTATATATACAGACTGCACCCCGCGGTTTTCTATAAAATAAAAAAAGTATATATAATCTATCAGTGTAAATTTCATTTAAATTGTCAATATTTTTACGTGAAAGAGTAACAAATATCCATCCCCACAAACTTTTTTTCAAACTTTCGTATTTATGATAGTAGTAGAAAAACTCGTGCAAATACAAATAAAGGTAGGGAATAAGCGTAATATTTTATGATATTGATTTCTATTAATTTTCTTTAAGTGACTTTTAGTAGTCTTTAATCATAGAATAAGCTGATAAAAATAAAATGCCATATAACTTACAAGACCGAATTTAATTTATTGGCAGTTGTATTAATTTGAAGTTTCGATAACTCCCCTTTGTCGCCTACTTTTGCAATATCTTTAACTTCGGCTGTAACATTATTTCTTATAGTAGGAAAGGCAACTGTAGAACGAAGTTTCCAGTTCTTAAAATTATCTTTTAAATCTTTATCTCCAACTATTTGTATAGTCTCTAATTTCTTATCTGTTTTTGCTGGATCAGATTTTGCTTTAATTTTCTCAAAATCAAAAGGTACGTCTTTCTTTTTTGGAAACAAATATATTTCCATTGCTTTTTGTTTTAAAGGTAAAGTTGGCAAAGATGGATTTCTAGGCACAACATCCTCGAATAAAAACGGAGACAATGGTAACGATTTGACTCCCAGAGATTTTATATCCATTTGTTTGGGTCCAAATTCAAATGTAACAACATCTTCTTGAACATGTTCATGAGAATCACAACACAAACTTGAAGAATCCGGCTCTTTGTTAAATGAAAACAGATTGTTGTTCATCAGAATTTTGTTAATAATTTCTGACGGGTGCCCTAATATTGAATCTTTGATACTTCTTATACCAGAACAAGGGCATGGCTCTTCACTTATAGGAGCCAATGGTGGTTTCGAAAATAAAAATGTGTTAAATGGCCGTTGCAGAGAATCCAGCTGCAATGGTGATTCTAAAAAAATTACAAACTGTCACAGTACTATACTTAAAATATAATAAACATGACATAAATGCAATTAATCTTATGATTAATATAAAAATTAAAAGACAAATTTTGGGACTCCACTAGATCTCGTTTGATTGTAATTTTGAAAAAAATATTTTTCGAAGAAAATATAAATTGATCTCAAGATAAAATTTATAAATTAATCATAAGATGCTATTATTAACAAAAATATATATTTTTTTATCATAAATTTTAGAATATAAGTAGTATTTACACTTCCAGAATACATACAAATTCATTTAAAAGTTTACCTTTCGTATTGAAATGAAAAGAAATATCCATTTTGCCGAGATTAACAAGAGAATTCGTGATTGTCGGTGATGGTTTGAGACCCTTTAAGGTATCTCGAGACGTTGCCAATGTTGTCATACATGCCATCCATGTGAATACGTTCATTAACATGACCTAAACATAATTATATTAGTATTTGATAGTATTATGAAAAAAATTAACTGTATATTTATTACTAATGATACATTTCAATAAAATTTTATGTAATAAAAAATAATTAAATCATAAATATAACAAAATTAATACAAAAAACCATAAGAAAGTAATAAAACTCTTAAATTAAGGACTATAAATAATGTACGTTCATAAAACATGAAATTCTAAATTAAAAGATGATGAAAATTTCTTTTTTTTATGTAAGGTAGTACAGATGGCCAGTACGTAAGAAGAATTAACATTTTTCCTTTCCTCTTATGTCCAAATGAATGTTCGTTTAATGCGATGATTTATTATGAGTCCTTTGTTTAAGAGAGGGGAAAAAGGTGTGACTTAAAAAGCTTTTAGAAATTATTGACATTCTCCCATCATACGAAAAATAAAACAAAGCTAACTTTTCAAAGATAGTAATAAAAAGTTTGCCGACATTCTAATTCCTTTGCCGAATATTGTATAAAATTGTCTATGGACATTAACAAAAGCAAAGAAAAAGTTTTTAAAAAGTTAAATAACATCTTAATTTGCTTACCGATTGTGCGGCTGTTGTTTCTGGCTACTATAACAGTCTGATTGATATTGAAAATCAAATTGAGGTTATTTCAAAACTTCAATTTATTCTTTATTGATTCTCAATTTTACGATCTGACTTGCGAAATCCAAATTGGAGGGAATGTTGGCCGTTTTACGCGTCTAATCACGTTTTTATCATTTGGAAATTGAGGCGTCTGTCTTTTACAGCGATTAGTAGTAATTGTCACTACAGATTATATATAAAGTATTTTTTTTATTACATGGGTATAACTGGGAATTACAACTATGTGACCCTTCATTATGCTCATCGAAAATAATAAAAATTATCTATAAACACTTTTATATACTTACATACTAATATTATATAGAGGAAAGATTTGATTGTTTATTTGTAATGGAAAAACTCAAAAACAACTCAACCGATTTTAAAGATTCTTTCACCTATAGAAAGCTATATTATCAGCGAGTAATATAGGCTACATATTATTTTCGAAAATTCATTGACCTGTGCGAAGCCGGACCGAATTTTTAGTTATGACTGTCTAGAAATGACTATTTATAAATGCTTATTATCATTGAGTTTATTATAATAAAAAATATATTTTTATTTATTTATATGTCCTGGTATAAAATGAGCCGCTCCCTTTCTCGTGGGTCTTGTAAGAGGCGAGTAAGGGAACTTAATGATCAAGTAATGGGCAACAGCGTCCTTCTATAAACATTACCAAAGCTTAATTGCGGTTAACTGCCAAGGCGGGTTGCCTGCCAAGCTTGGCAACTACTGGCAAAATATCTCAAGATGAGAACGAAATATAAAGTATCACACACAAGCCCAAGAGGTTTAAGTGGTACTAAAAATCCAGTTTTTTTATGCATGCTAATTAAATAATAAAAAAAAGACCTATGTTCGGCAGTGGACAGTTAACGGCTGATATGATGTAGGTATATTTGTAGGTTTCAATATAAGTATACTTTCAAATAATTAGAGTACTTGTAAATTTACTTTAAATAAGATGTATATAAACTTGTCATCCTTTCCTCATGTCCTACAGCCTCAATGGTCCCGTACTGCGCGGTTTCAGAAATGTTTCCTCCCACGAACACTCAGGTTGTGGAATGAGCTTCCTGCCGAGGTTTTCCCAAGAGACTACAGCATGGGGTCCTTCAAAAGGGGGATAAAGAGGTTTCTTCAGGGTCGGCAACGCACGCGTAATACCTCTGGTATTGCAGGTGTTCATAGGATACGGTAACCACTTACCATCAGGTGGGCCGTATGCTTGTTTGCCACCTCAGTGGTATAAAAAAACTTTGACATTTAATAGTTATTTTGAATAATGCATTTTTTTTTCATTATAGCACGACATGTGACCACATCGTTTTAAGCAAACATAGTATGGTCCGTGAATACGACCAACCGAAAAGAGAATTATTTACTCATACTTTGAGCAGTTGACCGCAGAATTTACACTAAATATCGGCTGCTCGTTTGTTGTATCTACAAAACGGTTGGATTGTTCCTCACTTAAATTAACTCTACTAGCATTGCAATATGACAAACAGCTGGTTTTCTTAGTATAAGCTATATTTTGGTGTTATAAATATACCATGGAGTTATTCAAAAAGGGCGTATTAAAGGTTCTTAAAGGTTCGCAACGCGCGCGTGACATCTCTGGTATTACAGGCGTCCACAGGCTACGGTAACCCCGTTTACCATCAGACGGGCCATGTGCTTGTTTGCCACCAAAGTAATATAAAAAAATACGATTCTGTACTTGCTCAGTAATGAGATTTATAAATGGAACTTCGATGTTTTAAACTATCTTGAATTTAGAACAAGCATATTTGAAATTAGAATAAAAAGAAGTTGAACGTGAGATGTAAATTTGAATCGTCTTGAATTATAAATAACATCTATCAAGTGATTTTTGCTGAATATACAGTTTTGCATACAAAGAAGTAGTTAAATATATAAAACATTACTCTCCTTTTATTGGTAGTTTGATAAAAAAAAAATATAATTAAACAGTCATCATCATCATATTGTTAACTATCCATTGTTGAACATAAACCTCTCCCATAAGGAGAGTTTTGCCAGTAGTTGCTATTAGCAAGCGGGTTGGCAACCGCAGTCAGATTTTTGGTGAAGTTTTAAGAGGGACACTGTTGCCTATTCCTTGATGATTCCTCTTATGACACTTATGGGAAAGGATGGGGTGGCATCTCCTATCCCGGGACTATCCGGCAAATTAAACACCATAAGTAACTAATTAATATTTCCAACAATTTCAGAATAAAAATTTCCAGAAAGAAGGATCATAAATATAATATTCAAAACAAATTTCATGTGTATCGTATACGTAGAGACATATTTGATTGTCGCTCAAATCCTATTTTCGACGAAATGCATTTCAGCGTACATCTGGAGCATATTGCATTGGTGCAATAAAATACCGTTATATTGTATTTATTTATAAACTTCGATTTCTGAAATTGCTCGTAAAATTTCCGACATGTTACCGACCTTATCGTTTCAGGATTCAGTGGTAACAGTAAAACGTGAAATGGCACTTAGGTATTTAATCATCACGTGTTTGGTTTGTGGCTATTGATACAAATATTTTGATTAACTATTTTTTTTTCTTTAGTTTAATACAGGGTGAAATCGATATCAGTATCATCTTTTTCTGATAGTGTTGTACTAGTGTGGTCAGTTGTTCCTTGTGATTTTGGCATAGAATGGAGCACTCCTTATTTTCCTGTGTGTATTGTAAAAGGCGACTAAGAGAACTTAATGGTCGAGAGATTTTAAAACATCAGACAGGCTGTGTGCTTGTTAGCCCCCTTTGCGGTATAAAAAAAAATCTCCAAAGCCTGACTGTAGTTGCCAATACACCTGCCAAGGATGGCAACTATTAGGAAAACCCTTCAATATGGAGGAGGCTTATGTTTAGCAGTAGACAGTTAATGGCTGATATGGTATGGTACACAACAATTCCCAAACTTATTTTGTCTACTGCCCACTAAGAATACTGTCCACTAGAATAAATTATTTTTTAGCGCTCTCATTTTTTCACCCACTTTAAAACCACTATTACTTCAAGATCAACAAACCACCCTCCAAGTCTCCAACACAACGCCCCCATTTTTTTTCTGGGTCTCTTACCGCCTCCCTTTAGGCCTGCAGCGCCCACAAGGGGGCGTTATTGCCCACTTTGGGAAAAGCTGGTATACAACCATACCAGTGAATCTGAATATTTTTCTGAACATGTGTCAATAAAGAATAAAAGGTTTTGTGCCTCCCATCCGACATTATGCATTTTGTTAGCATGGAAGATTCAAATTTCTAAATAACTTTTAAATTTTTGATTCATAAAACTTTTAACCTAATATGTTTTATAGCATAGGTACACAATGTGCTCGAAAATGCCCCCTTGTTGCCTACAAGGGATGACGATTTGAGACGTTCAGGGCAGTAATAGAAGAGCCAGAAATAATACTTTATATGTAATTGTGGCAATAGTTGGTTTTTTTAGAGAGAGATAATTTAAGATGAGGAACTCTAGAAAAAATATATAGGCAAAATGAACGCTGGGAAAAATAAAGTTGTAAAACTATATTCCTAATTCCATACAACGAATATTTTCTTAGATTTGCGTATGAATAGTATTACTGTCACTCTGTTGTAATAAAATTAAAATAAAATAATATAATTAAAATTTTTTCAAAGGTTACTTATTCATTTGTGCACATTGTCCTAACTGCCACAACAAACTCGTCGAGTACAAAATCGACATTAGATCCGCAAAGAAGGAATAATTTAGTAGATGAAGCATTTTTAGAGCAAAAGGATGTTTTGTTGGAAATGGTAATATGACTTATTTATAAATTAAAAAAATAATATATAGACATATTAATAATCTTCTAAACAAAAAAGATAAGCTTATTGATAAGTATATATTATCGATGTACCATATACTAATTATACCGAAAATATAATGATGTTAAAGATTATGTGTTCATAATAAACATAAGAGAAGAGATAAATATTTCTTTTTAGATGTCAAACTATTCAGAATTTTGCTAAGTATAAAATGTTAAATAATACCAAAATATAATAATACTGAACTCTTTTTTCCTAGTTAGAAGCAAAGTTAAAAGAAGTAAAAGATAAGAAAAAGAAAAAAGGAGATCACAAAGACAGTAATAATATGAATATTATAAAATGCGAATCTATGCCAACTAACGGTGACTTAAAATTAAAAGCAAAAGGAATTAGTGCCGTGGGCGAAACTGACATATTACTTAAATTTGGAAAATCTGGTAATATTTTTCAAGTTAAGGCATATTGAAAAAGAATTATCTTGAATATAGATTTTAAATGAATTGAATATCAATCTGATAGAAGGCTTCAATCTTCGAGATTGAAAACAATAATTATTTCAATATTGTGCATTTTAAGTATCTCAATATGTCGATTTGCAAAAAATCTTTCTATTACAGTCTTGTATTATTCCATACACAATACCTATGTATCAAGAATACAAAATAATACTAAAATTATTTCAGTATTCATAGGAATACATTAGATAATCTTGACATAATATGATAAACAGAAGAATATTGGGTTCTGATTTGCAGGAAAACATATTGGAATTATTATTTATGACAGTATTCATTGAAGTCAAACGTTGTCATATATTTTTCTTATTCTTTAGGTAAAAGCAAATTGGATTTAAACGCTTCAGGAATATCTAATGTTGGAAAGGCTGATTTGGAATTAGGCGTTGGAGATGGCAGTATCAATATACCAGGTCTCAATAATTTATTTCACGGTAAGAATAACAATTTAGAAAATCTGTATATGAAATTCAATACTGTATAAACTGGATGTACTCGTGACATTATTCGCGTAGCAACCTTTTGTCTTTTATCATGAAATGGAGCAATTTACAATGTTTTACAAAATCCACTTAATATTTTTTTATGTTAATTCTAAACACTGTTAATTTACAATTTTAATATACGAACAAAAATAAAATCTCACAATTGCAAGAATACGAGAATGGCAACTATAACACTACAATAGTTATAGTTAACATTATGAAAAATTTGCCACAAATCAGCTTTCTTCAATTTACTTTTCTTCTCAAAAAAAAATTTAATCGAATTATTAAGAACAGTAAAAATGAATATGAACTCTGTTCAGTAAATGTAAGAATGATAGAAATATGTATTTAATTACAGGTCTAGAATATGTAAATGAGTGTAACAAAATAAACAATATTAACATAAATAAAGAAGAAAATAATGTAAATAACATTGAAAATAAAAACATGGATATTTTAAGAGCCAATAGTACGCTTCAAATTGATAATAATGAAAATAAATTAAGTATGGATGGAAACAAGAATTTAGTAGTAAATAGTAAAGGCAATTTGACCAATGATATAACTACAAACAAAATTAGTACTATTAAATCACTAAAGAATGATAATGATATTCAAGTGAATGTGAATAGTGTTACAATATCCAGCCCAGTTCTTTCGTCAAGTGCTTGAGAAATTAATTTAAACATTACTCTCAAAATCTCTATTGGAGATAAGCTCGCCTTTGTGCACTATTATGGTTGTTTTTACATTTTAATAACCTTTTGTGTACAATAAAGAATAAAATTCCAATACAAAATATTGTTTTATTTTTACTAACTACTTATAGTATTATATTAGAAGTGTAATTAAATATTGTATTTCTAGCTTCATTATTATAATTAATATACTTACATAAACGTTATTTAATATTATATACATGCATCTAGCGTAGCGTAAGAGCATTATCCTTAAGATATCGAGTTTCGCTGACGTTCTTGCCGTCTGCAGAAATGTCTAGGTATCGTAAAAAGCAATGATTACGTAAACCCTGCAGTGGAGTTTCTTTTTATTTATTGCACGTTTGCCGTTTTATATCCCAACAGGGTACGGTTCACATAAGCACTGATATAATGAAAGTGGTTTGTTACAGTCACTCTCAATTCAACACCCACGTGAGAATGTAACATCCATGACCTTTTGTTTTACATAAATATATTGTTTTTTTACAAAATTTGTTTTCTTTAACTTTGTCTATTTTCTTATATACGTTTAAAATAATATGAATTAAGTAATTATTTAATAATTTAATTATTTAATAATTTAATTATTTAATAATTCAAACTGTTATTTAAGTAGGTTTATGAAAATGCTCTTTTAAATAGTCACTAGTTTATGCTTTTAATTAAATATCAATCTTAAAGAAATACTATTATTTATCTTTTGAAATTGAACATTATATATTGTATCATTTGTTATAAATAAGCAAATAATATGCATATGATATTTTTGTGTAATATAGGTTTTGCATATTATACACGTAAAAATGATTAATTCACTCATGCGCCATCTACATACAACATACAGAACAGACTATCTGTTCTCATTTAATTTGGTTGGCTGTAAGAAATTGTCCTAGCGAAAAGACCGCCTTTTGTATGTTTATGTATACAGTTTGATTTGTACTTTATGCCAATGTATTACAGTTGAAATTTATATTTTTTATTGTATATTTTTATGTTGTTGGTGCAATAAAGAGTTCAATAAATAAAATAACACTTTTATATTTATCTAAGATATTAAAAAAAAAAACAAATATTATTTTTAATAACTTTGCTTGCTATTTCGTGTGATTGGAATAAAAAAAAAGAATAGCATAATTATGTCCCATATTATGACAAATACTACTGGCAAAGACTATTGTATTTTAAGAAACATGTAAGGATAAGCCGCAAAGGTATCAAGAGGTAACAAACAAATTCACTTTAACCTTTTTACAGTGGGTAATGTGCTCGCTGATGGTGACTTAAAGTTGAGATACCCTACGGTCATTTTTTTTCTCTTTTTTAAATAGGGGAAAGTGTTGTACCTATGCACGGTTTTACCTGTGGACACCACTGATATCTTTAATTGTTAACACATAAATTGAACGAAAAATTTAAGACTGCTAATTCTTAAGCGTTAACTATTCCTGTAACAACATTTGTGATAATTTACGGTTATAAATTGTAAATACGGTAATGGAAATTAAGTAATTAAACCTCATTTTCTTTCAAAATTCGGTTTTCCATAGGTAAAACACTTTCCCCTACAATTATGTGTTTACTTTTTGTGTAATTGTTATATGATCAATAAATATGTTATGTATATATTTAATATTTTATAACATAAATAACTATTCACACCTACTTCGCACGCGTATACTAATGAATAAACTGACACCAAACGTTCCATATCATTCACTTTTTTATATGGATATTTATTAGCCCAAATTTTTCAATTTACTGCACCATTTTTCAAACATGCTCTCTCATTCACACATTATCTTGACAATTGCAAATTACTATTGTTATTTTTCTTAATTAAATTATTTTTAGTATTTTTATGTATTTTGAAATTGCAAAAAAGCTGACGGTCTAGTTGATTGAAAATGGTAACGATTACTTGAATAGCGCCTTAAATTATTATATACTTAAAAAATGTTTATCGTTAAAAAGCAACTATTTTCAACCGACTTTAAAAAGGAGGAAGTTCTCAATTCCGTTGTATTTTTTAGGTTTGTTGCCTCATGACTCTCTTAGTTATAAATCGATTTTGAAAATTCTTTGTTTTACCTGTAAGGATATACTTACAAATTTAGTCCATTAGAAATTTTATTTAACCAGTCCAGTAGTTTAATTTTAAATTTAAAATAACTCGTTTTGCCAGGGGAAAGGGATTGTTAGTAATGGAGACTGAGAATCCCCATGAGATGAATTTATCATGATGGGCTTACTGGCCTGTTTTCATTCTCATCTATCACCCTTCACTGGTGCTCCGTCAGCGTATTCCGTTAGTGCAGACGGCACCATACCATTTTCATCCATAAAAAAAGAAACTGGTTTTGAAAAATTTCAACCAGAATTGAAATTGTTTTTCTTGTGAAACACAATAATAAATTATTAAGACTCCTGTTTTTTTTTATGACGGTACGAGATTAAAGTTTTTTATGAAAATTTTAATACCCACTGCCTCCCTTTGAAATATATTTTCAGATCTTTTCCTTTTTTGTTTACATGATTTCCTTTTTGGATAAAAGCCAACGAAGACGTAAGCGTCATAAATATATATTTACAGATAACAGTTAATATATTAAATTCTTCGTAAAGTGGTCGACGAGACAAAAGTGTATAAGATTTTTGTTCCATTGTTGTAATGCCCATTTTATTTAGAAATTTGTTTTAAAAATATTAAATAAATATCATAAGATTAATGCCATGTACGTCTAATATACTACTAATGATATCTAATAATCACTTGTAACAATTTTGTATATTTTTTTTATGCAACTTAGAATAACTAACAAGCTAATGATGACCCACCTGATGCAATGTAGTAATCGTCAACTATAGACATGAACAGTACCATGGACATAACAGAGTATACTGTCATTTATGATAGCTTTCATGCGATGCCATTTCTAAGGACTAAGCTGTTTTGCCTAGATACCCTGTAATTCAATTCCATATTCTACCTTTCAAAACGAAACATAGCCATGAAAACAACTGTTTCAAGGCAGGAATATATATGTGGCAGTAGTACCCAAGCGAACGACTTTTGTGCAAAGTCTTCTAGTCTAGTACAAATTAATCTCTACCAATGGCATATAAAGATATTTAAACTCTAGCTTGAGATTCAGTGAAACAAGTTCAGGTCTCCAGTTCCGCCTTAGCGTTATTTTTATTTTTTATTTTAGGATTTTGTTTTGTGTTTTCCGTCTCTTGCACTATGTAGATGCTGTTCCACTAATTGCTTCTTACGATATATGTATATAGGGAATGGAAAAGAACAATGACGTATTTATATTTACCTCTGCCATAGTAGGGAATTCCTCCTTATACTTTGGAATTAAAATGGTCACGTACAGTGCGGTTTCAGAGGACTTTCTTCTCGCGAATGTACAAATTATGAAATGGCGTTTCTGCTTAGTTTTTCCCTAGAGATTACAGCATGAAGTTCTTCGAGAAAGACGTTATAAAGTTTCTTAAGTAACGGCAATGCGCGCATGACGCCCCTGGTAATATAGACGTCCATAGGCTAAAGTAACTGTTTACCATCAGACAGGCCATACGCTTGTATGCTACCATAGAAGTATAAAAAATTATTTGTTTGCACAATTCAATATGAACAACATTGGTATGAGACTATCATAAACTCCTAATTTAAAAAAATGTAAACTGAATTACGACTCTCTGAGAAGTTAGCGTAGATATGCACATAAAAAAATAGCATCATGTAAAATATCCTTATTTTTCGAAGTTCGTTAAGAAAGAATATCTTACAGTGCGGCTGCAGCTGCGGCGGCGGCGGCGGAAGCGCTGGGGGGCAGTGGGAGGCGAATGCCACCGCCCCTGCTGCGCTCGCGCACCTTACCCGCCATCATAGCACCAGGGTTCTCCATATTGCATGCTCAGATCGACCCACAGAGAACTAATGGTAAGTTATAAAGAAAGTATTATAATCGTAGCATACTTGTGGTTACAATGGCAATATGAACATGTTGTGCCCACCTCAGAGTTGTGGAGTGCCCACCTCAACTTTCAACTATGCGTAAAAATTTGTTTGTGAATAAAACGTAATTACACATTCATATCTGAAAATAATTGAATGGATTTAAAAAAAAAATTGAATTAATAAATCAGTCTAGCGAATCATCAGATACAGCTTGATTCTTTTGTTTTATGTAGTCGCGTAGACCAGTGGCAGTGGTTGTTTATAACTATCAAATAAATATATTATAATTTTTATGAACTGACTTCATTTTGAACTTAGAAGGCATTTTAAACTCACTGCGCATTTGATAGAAATAGGCAACTGTCGCCTATAAATATGAACAGCATACTTAATATCAAAGAATATACTGTGATAATCATGGTACTTATCACGTGTCACCATTCCTGATTATGCCGGTGTTATGCCCACCTTATTCTGTAATTTCACTGTGATGCCCAATTCGCCATACTGATACACAACTGTTTTATGAAAAAAAAAACGAGTGGTTCAAAGGTTTGATCCATTCAGATGACTTTAAACAAACTGATTTCGGCTATCGTGCAGACGAAGTTACACACCTGTTAAATATTATAGTTTAATCTAAACCAATAGTAATACCGAATCACACAAAATAGGTAAGACTGCTAGCTAAGAAATTATATATTTACCTGTTTATGTTTTAAATGGAACTTCACTTATCATACTATCTTTGAAATGAGTAAAGTAAAACATTTTGCCGGCTAAATGAAGTGGAAAGTACGACTGAAATTTAAAGGTACGACAAAGTTGGCTTCGTGTTTTCCACTGTGAAATTACCTCGTTCAGACCTACTATATTATACAGGTAGCTTTTAGTGTCGCTATTGCGGATGGAAACCTGGTACAATTTATACATATTTATATATATAAACACCTGTGACACATAACTTTTTTATGTGAATTGGTTAAGGTTTTGCCCGTAGTTGCCACGCACTTGGCAGGCGGGTTGTCAACCGCAATTAAGGTTTGCTGATGTTTTATTAAGCTACTACTCATCCATCGACTATTAAGTTCCCTTAGTCGCTTTTTACGGCATCTATGGGAAAGGCGGTCCATTCTATGCTGGGACCACATGGCATAACTAGTTACAATGTGTTTAGTATATGGTATATTTGGGTATTAAATTTAATTAAAATCTATTGTTTCATTCACGTCACAATTACCTGTCAATTTTGAAAAAAATTTTTAGTGGTTGATTTGTATGCATTGTATGCAATAATTAACGTTTTAGTTTGCCAGCGGAGTACTTTTTGAGTATTCAAATAAAAATATTAAAAGAAGATCAATTAAATTAGAAAATTGACATACAATTGCAATTTTGTCGCACTTCGATAAGTTAAAGTTATTAAAATTTTTTTGAAATTTAAAATTTTTGTTCTCAGAATGACAACATATGAGGGGAGTCATGAGTAGCACAGTATAATCGGTGAAGGTGCTGTTTACGACTGTAAGCGACGGTTACCACTTTCCATTAGGTAGACCGTCAGCTTGTTTGCCATTCGAAGCAGCATAAGAAATTTTTCGTGGACTGTCACGATAAATTCAAACATATACTGACGATTAGAATACGAGTATGTATGTTCAGTGGCTTGAATAATATAAAGAAAAAATAATATCTTATACCTATCTATGTACCTATGTATGATGAACTCATATGTAGGGAGATTTCAAAGATTTTCAAGATCAAAGAGAGGGAGCCCCAATAAGAACCTATACTCATATGAAAATAAGCGTAACCCTGTTAAACTACGCCTTTATATTATAAAAGTTATTACTTGACAGCATACCTCTCTCGTACTAATACCTTCTGTATATACTATCTATATATAATATTTTTGACAATTCTGTAAACATATTCTAGCATAAAATTTAGAACTCTAAATTGAAATGTAGCCGGGGAAATTAGACTTTATTGCGATCCAGTTTATGACCAAATTGGCATGTAAAGCAGCTGTGGAATTTATTTAAATCCATATCTGGGACATGCAGCTTCAGTCGCGTAATAAAAAGTCCTTTCTTAGTTGCATACGACGGTAACCTACTTGTATACAAAATTTCAGCATCATTTGTTCGGCGGTCTGAAATTGTTCTTGGGTATGTTTTTCAGTTAGTTTATTTTGAAATAATGAAAATTGGATTATAACTCCATATGCGCTATTATTTTACTCAGGAAAGATACAACTGATGGATGGTAAGTAAATATGAAGTCAGTTGGACTAAAGTGACCATCAAATTCGAGCACCGATCTAATAATTTGCTTGAAGATGACTCGTTTATAGATGAAAGTCGTATCGCAAACCGTGAGTGAACAAAATAGCAGTCGGAGATTGATGGCAAGTATGTAAGGTTGTGGAACTTCTGGTAGTAATAGTGGTACTTAATCTTTAAGTGTTGGCAGTCACTCACATACTAATAGTGGCGGAATGAAAGAAAATCATTCTAGTTAAATAACTAGTGATATGGACTTCCGCAAGGCAACACGTAGTTTAATAAAATATTTAAAATTAACTGCGTCTATCAAAACTATGCATCACGACATATTTTTTTAAAATAATTCACAGAAACTAATTTGAGTTTTGAACGAAAAATCGTGTTAGATACAAAGATTGCGAAGCAAATGTGAAGCGGAGTATGCTTCATATTTGATTCGCAAACGAAACAGTAGCTTCGTAGATCGTTGTTTTAATAAAGAATTAATAGAGGAGTAAACTATATCGACTGCTAAGATTTGTTATAAACTAATTATGAATGTTTACTGGCGACGTAATAAAAAGAGGCAAACCGAATGAATATAGAGTCTCCCTTTTTTAATGTGTTTAAAAACTGCACTATGACGCAATGGCCAGCTATTTATAAATAAAATAATAACGCTCCTGCACAAAGAACAGACATCGCGTGACCAGGAAATGCAGCACTACAGCAGTGTAAAAAGTCTCGCGGTCGGAACACGATAACGGACTTTTATGTGATAGGTACCAGACGGTACAGTCCGCAGTATACCGAGTTAACTAAAACAGAGTAGATGGTTTATACTAGTTTAGTAAATAAATGGTAAAGCAATTTTGCAGCTAAACATAGTTCGCACTAGTTCAGTAATCAAGTAGCGAGTAATTAATGAGTAAACATAGATGATTGAAATCGGTTTCTGGTCATTCACGTTTCCAAGGCTGTATTTCGATTCGAGGGATATGAGAGTGAAGTTATTGGGTACAGAGACGTAACATCATAATCCTCCGCAATGGTATTTCAAGAGAGGTACCATGAGTACACTGTGATCAGTATATTCCGTGATGTTCATGGTGCTGCTCGTGTCTATAGGCGATGGTTACTACTTGTCTTTACCCGCTTACATCATGTGGACCGCTAACTTCTTTACCATTCTAAGTATTGTAAAAAAAGATGGTTTACACTTTTATAGTTAAGTAGCGAGTAATTTGCAGCTGACCATTTGTGACTCGTACTGGTATAGTAACTAAGTGGTGGGTAATTTTACAGCTAGTTAATTAATATTTTAAGGCATAAAAATTAATATACGAGGTCTGTCCGGAAAGTTCGTATAAAAGTGTTCTGGAATGCGAGAAAGAGGAGTGGGGAGGCCAGGTAAGCGCAGGACCCCTTCCTTATGTCCCTAACAATGCTTCAGTTCTGGTCTGACCGCCGTGCGGTGCGAACTGGCTTGTCACGCCATCTGTGAAGTTACCTCTTAACGAAACCCCGTCGGCATGGAGCCCGCTTCCGTTGAAGAGCAGCGCGTCGTAATCAAGTTTCTCTCGAAACTCGGCAAGAATGGCCGTGAAATTTTTGCCGATCTCAGAACAGTTTATGGGGATGATGCTGTGAAGGAACCAACCGTCCACAAGTGGCTAAAAAGATTCAGAGAGGGCCGAGAAAGCGTTCAAGATGACCCACGTTCAGGACGTCCTTCCACTTCACATTCCGACGAAAACGTGGAAAGAATTCGAACTTGTGTTAATGGGGACCGTCGTTTAACGGTCAGACAGGTGGCTGAAGAGCTTAATTTGGGCAAAACCGTGGTCCACGAAATTCTAAGAAACGAACTTCAAATGAAAAAAATTTGCGCCAAGATCGATCTCTTGTTGTCCGTGAGTTTTTGAGTAAAAATTCCATTACGGTGACCGAACACCCCCCTATTCGCCGGATTTGGCCCCGTGTGACTTCTTCTTGTTCCCAAAAACCAAATTGGTACTTCGGGGGCGGCATTTGGGGGACATAAATGAGATAAAAAAAGCTACGACGGGGCAGCTGAGAAACCTACAACCAGAGGACTTTCAAGGAGCCTTCTCACAGTGGAAACGGCGTTGGCACAAGTGCATTATGTCACAGGGGGAGTACTTTGAAGGGGATAAAATTGATTTACCTGAATAATTGTAAAATAAAATTTTTAAAAAACTTTTATACGTACTTTCCGGACAAACCTCGTATGGTATGTATAAAAATTCGTAATGAGTTTTAACTAATTAGAATACTTTTAATGTAGAAGGATATGTGTATTAAATAAACCTTATACTGGCATATAATGCACAGATAGACCATGGTCTGTCTGAAAAAGCAGTCAAAAGTCTTCGAAATCGATATGCATGCAAAACTGTGTTATGAAAATAGATGGAACATGAGATGTATTTGACACTTGGTTCTTTCCGCTTATTCCATAGGGGATTTGGCATGAAAGTAGATAGATAATGTTTTTTTACAAAATTTCTCGTTACTTGCCTAAATTACTAAATCTCTTTAAACGAGGCTTTACGAATACTGATTATAAATAAATGTGTCATACAAACTGCGGATTTATTACTAAGTTGACATTTCGTTCAGAAGTCACAAAAGAGATACATTGTAAATGGTAATAATAAAATACAGTAAAAGGAATTCTATTTTGGCAACGAA